TAATTATTAACACATATGGTACCACTACAACAAAAACAACTTTTAGAGGCATTAATACATTAATAAAGAATGTTTAAGTATTTATCGGCATTAGTTAAGTGTCATTAGAACCAATATCGCTAAAGACTTTAAGGACATATACAATAAATGTCAATTGCCGCTAAAAATATATGTTTAACGGTAATTAAGAATTCATTACCGCAAATGATCATTTTTGTCGTAGTGTACATACCTAAGATTAATATATAACAATGCATTTAAAGTTGAAACACATTTATTTAAATTTAATGTTGAAATAATCTTTTTCAATATTCAGTCGATATTATTATCTAACCTGGCTGGAAGCTGTTTAATTATCTATGTAATTTTTTTTAGAAAATTTTTCTATCTTATATAAAGAAAAAAAAACGACACTACATAATGACATAGTAGTATCCAATAAGAGGGTTGTTGAGATCATAACAAGTTCCTCAATTTTGTGCCTAGATTGATAACATACTTATTTATAGGTTTTCAACTAATATTTACTAGTTTTTCCGATACAAATACATAATTCAGTCAAAAGTTAATATATTTTCGAAAAACTTTCACCTGAATTTTGAATACTTTATGGTATAACAATATTATGAATATATTAAACTTTTAAATCTATCTCGGTGATATATAGTAATTCATGTAAAAATATGTTGTGTTAAGAATGTGTTTTATAATTTAAAATAGCCATATAAGGAAATTTTTTATTTTTTGTGTTCTATTATTGAAGATTTTTTTTTTGTAAAAAATTAAAAAATAATATTAAGTAATGATTACAAGAAGAATGTTTTGCGTCGCTCTCAGGCTCTGACTCTTAGGTCTCCAACGTGGGCCCCAGTGTATCTGCACGCGCGCCAGCCGCGTGGACCCACCGTTGACCTAAAAATTAAATAAAACCAAAAAGTCAAAATGCGTAAAATAGCATTTAATCATGATTTGACGCCGCCGATTTTTGACTGATAGAACCGGTAACTGGTCTTCCTCCACCACCTGCTGCCTCACTCCGCCACTCTACTATTCCTACGCAACTTAATTTTTGCCCTAATCATAAAAACAAAAAAGAAAAATAATTTATTTTTATTCTGAAGTAGTGAAATTCATAATTATTTTCTTGAGTTGAGTGTTTTTAAAATAATTACTTTATAGATATGTATGACTACTCTAATTTTTATTTGTGAAGTTATACCGAACATATTGTTATTGTTGATTGGAGTAGTATTTTAGTTGTTTTTTCGTTTTTACCAGGTGACCAATACCTCCTTTAGAGCTTGACTATTTTAAATTCACGCTGCATATAGCCTCATTCGAAGAAAACACTTCCTAGCAAAGACTTTTTCATATTCAAAATTTAAACCCGATAATTATGAAAGAAACAGTCTTATCTACTATATTAACCACACTATTATATTTTACTGTTTTCCATCGTGTATAAGAGATAACATATCGGATATACTGGATTTAATTTGGACTAATTATATATCGTGTCGTACACTACATTATGTGACAATCATCGGTTAAACTTTTTTTTTGTGAAAGAGAATCATATGATGTTATTATTAGATTATTTTTTTTAATGTTTGAAGCCAAAAGATTAAATGAAGAAAGAATTTTTTTAAGTTATATATGTTGTCAATAATCAAAATAAGAAACTTTTATCACAATAGCTTTTGTTAATAAAAAATTAATAAAATATTCATCTTGATATTGAATCAAATATCTTTATGTATTAATTTGGGATCGATATAAAATTAAAATGTATAAATTTTAAATTTTGAATCCGTTTCGAAAGTGGGGGCGTTCTTGTTTTGGCTCCTAATTTATTAATACTTTCGAAGATAAATTTGGGGCATGAATACTGATAGAACAAAATGTAGTGAGTTGATGTGTCAGCATCGTGTTATTATTTAATTTGAACTAAATAGAAGGATATGATTATATACCTAGCTAGTAGTCCATATATGATAAATCTTCTAGGACACTCCTCCATTTACATTTACGTTTAAAAGATTCTCTTTTGTTATGAACACAATATTATGATATTCAATTATTCATGATGATGGCAATTGGAAATATATATACAAATGAATCTCTAACATGTTTAGTTTTGATGAGGTTTATGAATGTCATTATAATTATATTGATGATGAGCAATCACTCATTAATACGCACATATTGGAGAAATATACTAAACTCAAGGATGTGTTTGGTGTGAAAAAATAAGTTGATTTTTTACTTATTTTCTTTTATTTGGTACAATAGTTAAAAGATATTATTCTGATAATATTTGTATATAATTTAGATCAATACTCAATACAGTATGGAGGGGAAGAAAAAAAGATGGGTGTGGGGTGTAAATGTACTTGTTTTCTCTATTTTTATTAGAGAATTTTTTTTTTTAATTCAAAAAATCATTAGAAAAAATATTTTTCAAAAGTTTTAACCAACCGAACATGAAAAAAATTCAAAAACATTTAATATTGAACGCACCCCAAGTTGTACCCATCAAATTAAATGTTCTGATGGAATAGAATGAAAAGATATCTCATTCTTAATCACTAGTTTTTGAATTCGAATCATATGAATAAATATAAAGAACTTATAGCCCGTTCTACTTTAGACAACACAAAATTCATATTAATCGAAATTCAAATATATTATGTAAAAGTAAGTATCAAATACCAACTGAAAAAAAAGAGTAGTAGGTGATGCCTAAGATTCACCAACCAAGCTTTTAAAAGCTAAAGAGTAACATTCGCCATTGAGGATATTTTTTATATAATAAAGAGCCTAAATGTCCTTTGTAATTCCCTTACTTTATGTAAGCTCATCATTTTCATATATATATATATATATATATATATATATATATTATTATTATTATTTTTTAAAAAAAAAACAAAAGTTTTATTCTAAATAGAAAAATGTTTTAAAATACCATAGCTCAAAATTCAAGTTGCTTGAGAAATGACAAAATGGACGGCCTTAGGAGGTTATATTTGATGTTAAATTCATTGCAACTACCTTTAAGATTCAGAGAACATAATTTAGATGATGGCTTTTGTGAACTAAAATTTGTGGCAAAAGATATTTGAAGACATTGACTTCCACTACTAACCCAAAACAAAATGAAAAAATAAATAAAATAAAAAAATCTAGTCCTTTTCTAGAACAATGCTAACTTTATTAATTTATCCACCTTTTTGTTTTGCTTAAAAAATAATTTTGTCCATATCCACGTATGGTCTATGTTTATATAAACCCTCTTTTTTTTCTTAAAAAAATAAAATATATGTATGGTGTGGTATAATAAGAGAATATAATGACAGTTTTAATGAGCTTTCTGAAACAATAACACAAACATATTGGAAAAACGATATTTTAGTCTCCGTGTTAAGGCTAATTTCTTATTTTAGTTCTTGTGTTATTTAACTTAGCACTATTAACCTTCAATTATATTAAGTGAGTGATTTTAATTCTTCAACTAACAGATGCAAAAAATTAACAGAAAATTCACTGCTAAAAGGGATAATTAAGGTATTTTAAAGTTATTGCTTGAGAAAATGGATTTTTTTTTTAAAAAAAATCATTCATTGCATAATTTATCATTCGTCGGTGTGAGAGGGAGGGCTACTGCCTATAAAGTTAGTTGATTTTGTTGAAATTGTAGCTCAAATCGATGGACTTGTTCTTCTAAATAGAGACAGGGAAGACTTAATCTGTTCTTCAAAGATAGAGAATTTAAAAGAAATGTCCGAACTACCCATTTTAGCAGTGAACTCTCTGTTAATTTTTTATAAATCTGTAAGTTGAAGGATTGAAATCACTTACTTGATATAATTGAAAGTTAATAGTGCTAAGTTAAATAACACGCTTAACACAGAGACTAAAAATATCATTTTCCCAATAATCCCCAATATATTAAATGTAACTTTATGACTTGCCTACAAGAGTTTGAATTTAAAGAAATTAATCCAAAATATAAGCTATTATATAAAGATAAACGAAAAAAATAATATTATTTTTTATTGATCTTCGATTCAACGGTTAATTTATAAGTTTTACGTAATTAATGATTTTTATAAATTATAAATTATCAAAATCGGCCAAAATTGTAGTGGTGTGTGACGTGTACGCTTTTGTCTATAACTATCAATGGTATATTGACTCGACAGAGTATGAGAAAGCTTATTTGGCATTGTTAGCTTTTTTGAAGCAAATACATAACCCTCAAAATTGAAAATAATTTAAAGTCAAAAGTTAAAGTGGGAGTAATAAAAACATTAGTGCTGCTGACTATAAAAGATAATACTATTAAATTAAAAACATAAACAATTTATTCTTTAAAATCACAAATAATAAAATTAGCTCATAAAAATACTCGTTCAAATCGCCTATATTTGAGTTGGTAAATGAATTCATCCCATGTCAACCAAAAACCAATTTCAGTTAAGAAAATTTGAGTTGATATGTAACTCAAATTAATCCATATCAAATCTTATCAAAATATCTTTTTATTATTTTGATATTTCATGTAGCGTCATAGAAATAAGAAGAACAATAGTTTTAATTGCTACTAATTTTGAAAATATAAACGTAATTAAAATTTTATAAAAATTAAGTAGGTTGAATTATGACTTACTTTTAATTAGTCAATTTCAATGCAATTCATTTTAAGTCAAATAATTTTTGATGATCTGATCAGTAACCTAATTATCTATTAACTCATCTTATTTAAACCAGTTCAGTCCCGAATCCACCTATTTAACAACACCTCCACCTAAAACCAAACAAATTAAATTAATTCCGTTTGGTTAAGCGTGAAATTAAATTTTGATTTCTAAAAAGGTGCGTAACCCTTTCTTTTGTCTAATCAGTCACAAAAAAGTCAACCAATATATTGTGGTCATTTTTGAATTTCATTTAAAACTATAGGGGTACTATAAATAGTCATATGCAGCGAAACGAAGTCATTTCATTTTTCTGTTTAATTTTCTTTTCCAACTTAAAAAAAAACAAAAGCATACACACACAAGAACCAAAAACAAAGCAAATTTCCAGAATAAGAATCTAATCTCTACTCGTAATATATTTTGTTCAACTTGGAACATATTTTAAAAAAAATAAAAATCTCTCCTCTTTTTTTTTTTTTTTATCGCGATGGCGGAAGAATTTCAACTAGGTAGAGGAAATTGGTGGGAATCATCAACTTCAGCTTCATCAACAACAACAACATCATCATCTAGAAATAAGTTTATCGATAGCGGAATTTCATCATGTACAACTCCTTCAGCATCGAGTACAACCGGTCTAAGCAGCATGGCAAGCAACTTTGTTAATTGGCCAATAGAAATTCATGAGGATATTAAAGTTAGATCCGAAAATAGTTCTATGGTTTTCTCGGGCACGGATTCCCATAAACGTTACGCCTCCGGAGGAGGAGGTGGAGGCGTGGGGCAAGGTGTTTTATCTGTTGATGATCCTAATTTACAAATAATGGGGTTAGGTCTATCTTCTCAAGGACTTGATTGGAATCAACCTTTTTTGTAAGTAATATAATTATTTTTCGTAACGTTAATATTTTTTGCTAGTTGGTTTCATTATAAAATCGAAGCCAAAATTAGCTTGATTTTAACATATAGAACTTATACCATATCATCATATAATAGAGGTATTAGAATTGGGTATATATGATTTAAATTTGATAAGTTCAGTAGATCGAACTCATATTTTACATAAAATTTTGTGTTCCGACCATAGGAGGTGATAAACGCCTTTGTTGAGAAATTGAACTGTATATCTATTTATATATGTTTATTTTTTAAAAAATATGTATATAATATATGTTGAATCCTTTTTATTACTGATACTATTTTTATTTTTTTCTGTAGTCGTAGTGAAAAATCGGGGAGTGGTTTTCGTTCGTTAATTCAAGAAGGGTTGAGTTCAAATGCAAATTATCAACAAGAAGGAACATGTCAAGAACAAGATCATAATAATTGGAGTACGCAAAAATTATATCATGGGAATTCTGATGATTCTTCAGTAAATGATTATAATAAACAATTATTTAGTGGTCATAATAATAATCTTGAAAATTCAGCAGTACCTTATGGAAGTCCATCAAATATGTTACAAGGGTTATTAATTTCTGACCTTAATAGTCAACAACAAGAATCAAATAATTTTTCAAGTGTTAGTAGATCTTTATATTATAATCCTTCATATAATAACCAACCAAATTGTGATGTCAATATTCCTACTTCTACTTCATCATCATCTTGGTCTAAATTTCCTCAATTTCTTCGAACATCTGATCCTTCAAAAGTAGTACAACAGTGGTCACTGTCACAATCACCACCGCTATCTCATAGCCAGTTGTCACATTTCTCTGGTGGCACGTCTTTTTGGAACGCCACATCAGCTGCCGCGGAGGACGTCCGATCGGGTTTCCTCCCTCAGCTCCCCACCAACCCAACGGTTGATGAGAAACCAAAGGTAATCGAATTAAGCTTTACTTCCTTTTCGTATTATTTTATGCGATTGTGTTTGATTAAATTCAAATACTCAAGAAAAGAATAATGATTCTTGTTATGTCATAATATTTCGTCAAGATAAAACTGTTCATTCTTTTTGTATTAGATTAAAAAAAGTAAAAAGTATCATACAAAATGAAATAAAAAGGAAATGCATTACTTTCAATTTATGTGATACTATTTCACTAAGCAAGGATTTTAATTCGAAAGAAATGATATTTTTAAAAACAACTGGTAGAAAACTAAACAAGTTTTAATTAGACACTTGAAAGTAATCTAATTGTGGAAAAATGGAAACTCTAAATAAAATTATTCCAAATATAAAAAGCTATAGTAACATTTTCTTAGTAACAGACTATAAAAGAAAGTGAATCATATAAATAGCGATAAAAGAAACGATAAGTAAAACTCAATTATTATTATTTTTTTTCTTATTTATGGATTTTGATTTTCTCAATATTGGTACATTTTATGCAACAGCATACAGGTGAAGTTAGGAATACAAGCACAGTAACAAAGAAAAATAGCAGTGAAACATCAAATAAAAGACCAAGGAATGAAGCACCATCTCCATTGCCAGCTTTTAAGGTATTTAAATTAAGTTAATTCATTAATTAATTAATTAAGGACAAAATGGGACATTTAATTTATTTGTTTATTCGATCAGAATTATAATTATGAGAATATGTCTCTTTGTTCTTGATATTTTTATTTATTTTAGGTGAGGAAAGAGAAAATGGGAGACAGAATCACTGCACTTCAACAATTAGTCTCACCTTTTGGAAAGGTATATATATAATAATTACAAAATTGCGCCTCAATATTTTCTTTTTCCACTTTAATAGAAAGGATTATATGAGCTCTTTTGGATTTAAATGGAAAGTAATTGATAAATATTAGTGTCAAAATTGATTTTATAATTATATGTATAAACAAAAGTATTGCTGAAAGAGATTAGAGAAAGATATAACTGAAAAATGTCTTGATCAAATTAAAAAATATTTATATAAGCTTAAAAGCAATAAGTTAGGGACTAATGAAGACTTTTGCTTCATGTTGCATTATAAGCACTCTGAATGTTTATCAAACACATAATTTTAAAAAATATTAAGCTAATTTGATCAACTTATAAGCTTACATAAATATTTTAGCTCATTATTCTAAACTCCATCAAGCCTTAATCCTATCTTATCATTTGTATAATAAAATTTATCATTTAGTGATGATTTTTTCGGAATTTTTCTTTTCTCCTCTATATACAAGAGACTTGTGATTAATTTTTTGAAAATACAAAAAAGGACAGTTTATTCATTGATTAAATTTCTGTTTTTTATTTTAAATTTCCACAGACTGATACAGCTTCTGTGCTATCGGAAGCAATCGAGTACATAAAGTTCCTCCATGACCAAGTTAATGTAAGTTCGATTATTAATTATTAGAGCCTTAATTATTTGAATTTTATTGATTTTGTATAGTCAATTAATGAAATAATCCTAAAGGGAAAATTCAATAAAATGGAGAGTAAAAAGAAAATATTGCATGTTAATTAATTTTGTTTTTGTGTGTCACATAATAGGTATTAAGCACCCCATACATGAAAAGTGGAGCTTCCATACAACATCAACAGGTAAAATTACTATTTAATTTTTCAGTGTAGCTTAAAACCAATATTATTAATGTTGTATATTTTATTTAACACAAAATTATCATGTATTATATACGTAATACTTAATAAAAAGTGAATTGAGAAGTTTGAAAATACATGTTATACTTAGTAAGGACACATGCATTACATTTTATTTGTGCAACATCGATGTATAAATATTGATCGTGTAAAAATAATATTTGTTAGCCATTTACTTTTACTTGTTATAACATGTTATATTTTTTAGGTTACGGATGATGACATTATATATAATGAAATATAAGTTTTTTTTTAACGTAATCTGATAATGTAAAAATTATTCGATATATTGTGCAGAATACTGGTGATAAATCCAATGTAAATCCAGAAGGAGGAAAACAAGATCTTAGAAGTCGAGGATTATGTTTGGTCCCAGTTTCTAGTACCTTTCCAGTAACGCATGAAACAACAGTTGATTTTTGGACTCCCACCTTTGGAGGAACATTTAGATAATCAAGACAAAGAAGATTATAGTTGTACGAGTCTAAGTTATATACATCGTCAGTATAAAGAATTTTTTATACTATCAGGTCATTTTTTATTTGTTATAGCAGATCATTTATCTTGTTTTTTTCAAGATTAGAAATGTAAGGACGTATGCTTACCTGTAGATATCTTTTGAATCATGACCTGATAGTGTATAAATGATTCTTTATGTATATTGACGGTGTATAAAACTTAAAAGACCTGATAGTGTATAAATGATTCTTTATGTATATTGACGGTGTATAAAACTTAAAACTTTTTGTTATCAAACCCTAGAAAAGTGGGGGATGATATGAATAAAGAGGGCAAAAAAGAAATTATTTTTTGTAGGGGCCATATAACTAATTACAGTACTAGCTAGTAGTATTATTTCAGGTCCATAGCAGGCTGATGATGATGGAAAAAAGAAAAAGAAAGAAAAAAGAATGATAAAAGAGAAGGAAAAAGAAATGAGGCTTTAAAGAATGGACCAGCTCAGGCAAAATGATGCAACTTTGGCCAATATTTTTGGACCACTATATGTGAGTATGTAGGGGCTATACGGTGAAGTGATCGGACTGCTTCACCCTAAATTAAAGATCTCGAATTCGAGCTTTAAATATGAAGAAATTCTTATTGGAAGTGCCACCTCCGAATGGACTGCAGTGTGACGATCTAAATTTAGTCAGACTCCTCTGCGAATTTTGAACAGTACGTGGGAAAAAAAACTATGGGGTATGGAATGAGGGATAAAAGGAGCTTTTAAAACTAGCTGTTTGTATCTAGTATTTGTGCAAATAGCTGGCACTAGTTTAATTTAATTTAAAACAAAAGAAATGAGAGGAATAATTGAAGTTCCAATGTGAAAGATATATAGATTATTTGATTGGAAATATAACTTTTCATTTGTTTATATGTGTCCGGAATAAGTTAGTGGAACTTTTTAGTGAGTTTCCACTTTTTTTGTTTTCTATTTTACTATATTGATGAATGAGTAATGGAGGGATGTAGATGAAGGATATATATATATACACACACTTTTTGGATTACTTATGAGATTACACTGTATATATTGTGTTTTTCTCAAATCGTTATGACAATTGCTTCAATTTGAGAAAAAAGAAAAGTTAAAATGATTAAGTCGTTCATTCTTTGATCAGAAGTTTTGAGATTGATAATTGACAATGAAGAAATTCTTATCAAGAGTATTTCATCTTAAAATGAGTCATATATATGCACGACATGAATCTAAATTACGTGAGCTTGTGAATTTCGAAAATCATATGATTTAACAAAAAGAAAAGAAGAACTCAAGTGCTCATCCCCTTCTCTTTTAAGTCACAGGCAGAGTCAGAATTTTCTTTTGTTCACTTTTTTAACTTAAAAGCGAAACTGAATGCGTTTTAGACTAGTCTCACCTGCAAGGCAAATTTGAACAACCTTAACCATTAGACTATCTTTGTTTACTATATCAAACGCATTCAATAATTAGTATATATCCAAAAATATTGATAATTAATATATATACTCGCAAAAAATTTCCGATAAAGATTGTTCATCTGATCACCCTTATTGAGGTGCAGCTCCTCCCCTGTTTAACTCTTAATTAAAGAATGAAAAATAGAAGAACAGTAAAAGAGTAAAGAAGAAAGTCATGAAAATCAATCTATAATTAGAGGGAAAATGCAAGGTCTAACTTTCTTATCAAATTGCGTGTCTAGTCAAATATCGCAATATAAATCGCGATAAAGGAAAAATAATATATATATATATATATATATATATATATTTTTATGTTAATTGATAGCTAGGTTTTACTTGGTGATTATCATAGTTACTTAGACTTGATAATGTACTATAATTTTAACCTAACACTAGCATATTCACAACCTTATTGATATATATAGGCTACTTTTAGCATTGTCATGATGTACTTTGGAATTATCTATATGAAAAATTGTTTAGGCAAACATTATTAGCTTTACTTAGAAGCTTAATAAACACAAAAAGATAGCATCTATGTAATCATCATAATCATTGTGCTTTTGTGAAGTGCCAATTTTCATATTATGTATTATCCAAATTCTCTGTTTTACTTTTATTTTCCAGTGTAAAAAAATTTTTCTTTTTAATCTTAGATAAATATTATTGTATCTTGTCATGTAGATGCTTGTTCTCTTGTTCCTCTCCAAAAAGCATGGCTCTAAAGGTACATGGCATAAATTCCATCCAATTACGTACCACAAGTCCAAATAGAATAAAAGAACATAATCAAATTAATATATCAAAAAAACTATGCTAAATTTTGTCATGTTATGTAATTGAAAAAATAAGAGAGTCTGTGTTCTTTTTATTTCTCTCATAACTTAAGAATTTTTCAGTTTTAAATCACATCTAAAGAATCCTTTAAAGCAAAATCGAAAATTTTATGAGAATACGCTAGACAATAATAATATATAAACACTGTCAAATCCCACACAAAGGAGTATGAGGAAAATAGGTATTAGGTGTACACAAACTTTTACTCGTATCATGAAAATAGAAAAGTTATTTCTGATATACCTTAAACTCAAGAATGAGAAATAATAAAGAACGGTCTAAAATTTAGACACGATCAGTCTAATATTTTGTCAATCCCCAACATTATATTTTAAAATAGGGATGTTTGACCTCAGTTTAATTTGTAGTTGGAAGAAAAACAGTACAAAATTCTTCTTTAATTTAATTTCCAACCAACTTGTTGAAGTTTAATTTTTTGTGAAAGAATAAAAAAAGCGTTCCACTGCATTATTTGAGTAAAGTCAAAATGTAATTATATATCTATGCAGAAAGTATAGTAAATTAATAAAGATATACGGTGTTTCTATCGTGTAAGCAAAGACATAAGCAAAGGATCAGTACTTTAATGAGGCTTAATTAAGAACCTAATTAAGCTACTAAGATGCCACTAACCTGATTTTTTAGCATAATATTTAAAAATTTAAATATCAACCTACATATGCGCAACTTAGTTATAAACAATTTGACTCAATGGGTCTTTTGATTAATATAAAGAAAACACTAGTTATCAACTATAATTATCATTAATATTCTCAATTTATAATTTTAATCGAATATTCATTTATTTTGGTTTCCCATCTCATATTCAGTACACTCATTAAAGCCCGATTGCATAAGAAAATTGAGCAGTTTAGTGCAAACATCTAGTGTGTATTCCCATGACGGAACTATATTTACATGATGTACAAGTGATTTTTTTATTTATTTTCTTGTATATGATACGTAAGATTGAGAGGAGACAACCGGTGTTTGAAATTTATTTTTTCTACTTTTATTAGAGAAGTTGTTCTCTTCATTTTTAATTAAATTTGGACTAGACTGTGTGAGAGAGGCATGGGCCTAGGATGCTGAGTAATAAAGCCCATGTGGAAGATCAAATAACTCTATTTAGTGAAGAGTCCAAATTAGCAAACAGTCATGGTTTTCAAAATTGTTGATGGCATGCACTTGGGCCAACCAAGGTCCATTAGATAATCTAGACTTGGAATGACACCGGGCGTAGTCACATATAGCTTAGGGTAATCAATCGGATACGCTTTATTAAAAAGTTTTAGTATATATAGAGAAATCTATACAAAGTACATAGATTTATTATTGTTTATACAGATATATTAAATTCTAAACACCCTTCACGAACCACATAGTTGATGTATACCATGGGGCAAGTATAGAAAGCACCGCTTCAAATTTCTCAAACATGTAAATATGAACTTAATCGGTCAAAGCATAACTTCAAATCTTGAATTTAGGATTCAGACATAAAAGTTTGAAGTTACGCTTTGATAAAACCCAACTTCAAACTCGTATGTCATAATTTGAACTTCGACTTTGAAATATAAAATTAGGTTCTAAGTAAGCAATAATTACAGTTGATTGAATATGATGTTTGTCAAAATTGTAACAAGCCAAAAACCTAGTGCAATCCCTAAACTCTTACTTAAGGGCTTAGGCCAAATAAAAAATATAAAATTATTAGATACTTTGGATGTAATGCATTAACTTAATTATTGTTAAAGAAATTTTTTATTATTACTAAATATCTGGAGTCATGTCAGTTTGTAAGAATGTGAATTCTTTGACTTCTAATCTATGTTTAATTATATCCAATATCTCTATTGAATAATCCAACTTTCACATTTTATATTTATGTTTTAGGTACATGTACATTTCATTTTTTCTTCCTACAAAAGTCATGGAATTTCAGTGCCTAAAAGAAATAAAACCCTACATCTCACCTTTTTGTCATTAATTACTCATATTATTTGTTTTAAAGTTGCTTTCAATACCAAACCCAACTAAAAGCAAACTCTTGGAAATCTGAGAAAATCTCAACACAAGTCAATAACATCCTTTTTATTCTCCACAATTTTCCATCCCCACCAAAAAAAAAGTTTTATTTCAAAAATAAAATAAATAAAGTTTAAAAAATATTTATCACCGCAGAAAGAAATCTTTAATTACCTAAACTATAAGATAACATAGAAATATATATATTGTTAATGAATAGCATAAAGTTCTCTGTGTTTTTTTATTTTTAATCTGAAAGTATCTAAGTTCTTATTAATGCGTTAAAGTTCATGATTACGTGATAAGATAGATAAGATTTATTTACTATTAATTAGAATTCGTAAATTTAAATTCTACAAATGAATCTTCATTTTTGATAAAAAAACATTTTTTCTTAAATAAATTCTACCTGATGTAAATCTAAATTAATCGAAATGATCCATGTTTAAGATGGCTAAGAAAAATAGTTGATGACTTAATCATATACCCAAGAGTCAAAATTGGTTATTTAGGTCTCTATCAATTTGAGTAAAAGCCAGAGGAGCAAGAAGATCTTTAATGTGCATGTCATTTTATCGTATATATTTTAAAAATAATTTTAACCTATATAAGCATACTATTATTTTCATGTATATATTATAAAATTTCGATAAAACTCATAATATTAGGGTTAAAATGAAGGGTGTTTATTTTCTGAATAACACACTTTTTGTCTAACTATAATTACTTAATTATTATTAAATATGTTTTTGAATTGTAATTTATCTTTTTCGTAAATGTGTCTAAACCCTATAATAACAATATTAAATTTAACGATATTTCACTTATATCTATAACAACAAACACTTTATTAGTATGCATATATAAGTAAAAATTATTTTTATCATAGTAGCTTTAGACAAAAGAAAACACACGTTTGACCAAGTAAAACATTTCCAATAAATAGGGATATATTTCGAAAAAGATTGACTATTGTGTGGCTCAAAAAGACCAATAATCTTTAAACATAGTGCTAATAAAACTCAGAATTGTAATTAATTAATGTACTAAAATTCCGCCACTAAT